ACAGAGACTGGACCGGACCGTAAAATCCCTAATTTTGACAAACAATTTAAGTAATTAATTAAAATCACAGGAATCGATAACCAATCACTGAAAAGCATTTTAATGGTAAAGGTATTAATTTTATTTTTTATAAAGTCTTGTACTATTAACAGTATAATGAATGTTTAAATTTGGAACTTTGTGAATTATTGATTATTAAAGTGGTAGTTCGTAGTTGAAGGGTATAAATTTCATAACAAAAATCGTCGGAGAATTACTATTACTTAATGTTGGAATGCCGCAGTATATAAAAATCATATAGACATGAAGAAACAATTGAAAATAGCGCGCGATCTAATAAACCGACTTTAATAATTCCACCATTATTAGAATTGTAATAATTCGCTCTATAATATTTGATAGAGACTTAGGGAGGGTTACTTAGCTGGAAAAAACTTTTCACTGTAAGCTAGTTGCATTCCAACTCTATAGAAAAACTATATCAATTTCCGACAATTTCTACTATTAAATTTATACACTTTAATCGTAATTTACCTTTCAAATATTTTAAATTTTTTAGCATCACAAAAAAATTCAATTTAACAATCTTCACGTTTTGAAGTGCAAGGAATGCCAAGTTTAAACAAAATTAAGCTATTATATCTATATTCTTTCAATGAATTTCTAAAGTTAATTTTGGCATTTACGCCTAATAATACAGTCTGGGGGCATAATAATGCACTTGTTGGCTCTAGAATATATTATACAGGTGGTGTGATACCAAATGCAACAATTTGGAAGAGTGTTGTAGACTTTTCTAACACACCAAATCAAATGGCCACACAATCAAAAGAATTTTATTACTTAGATGTATCAACCAATTTTAAAACAAATGGTATAATACCTTGGGTAGATCTTAGTTCATCATCAATTCTTCCACCCCATTCTTGGAGTGCATTTTCTCTTTGCGGACCTGATAATAATACATTGGTAATGTTTGGTGGTGATTTTGGTACTACGAACCCTACCAACTTAGTTTTCACTTATAATTTAAAAACATTACAATGGAGCAATCCAGTAACTTCTAGCCAACCTTCAAATAAACATACACGTTCAGTTTGTGATTTTAGAACCGGAAAAATGTATATGTTTTCCGGAACTTTCAATACAGCAAATCCTACCATGAACATTTTAGATACAAAAACATTAACGTGGAGTGTTGGTAGTTCAATTGGAGCACCATTAGGAAGATTTGATTACACAGCTACTTTATTACCGAATGGTAACATTGTCTACATAGGCGGTGTAGATTCTTCTGGAGTGGTAAAGTTGTCAACGGTAAGAATTAAAATAAATGAATAAATGTTGGTGATTATTATTGATCTCGCTTTCTTTTAAATAAACATTAGATACCTTTATATAATATTAATGATGACACGTGGTATTCGATTCCTGTGATTTTAATTAATTACTTAAATTGTTTGTCAAAATTAGGGATTTTACGGTCCGGTCCAGTCTCTGT